CGTTGGTCTGACGATTAATATACACAAGACGAAGTTCCTGACTACGCATATTGGCACAGCACAACAACTGTTAGTCAGCGGTCAACCCATCGAAGACGTTAGCTGATTCCCCTATTTGGGCTCGAATATGCTAGCCAACGGACAGGCCAAAGAAAAAAACCCAGAACCGAATCGCGCAGGCTCGAAATGCATTTAGGCTACTAGCCAGACCACTGTGGTCTCACTTAGACATCAGTTTACGTACTAAGCTGCTGATATACAGGGCATTGATCAGACCGGTGTTAGTATATGCCTGCGAAACATGGCCAGTGAGAAAGGCAGATATTCTATCGCTCGAAGTTTTTGACCGTTGGTGTCTTTGATGCCTCTTAAAAGTCTTCTAGCCGGATCGAATTTCCAATGTCGAGCGCTATCGCAGGTGTTTCAAACTACCAAGTCTAGCATTATACATCTAGCATCGCCGATTGCGATGGTTTCCCCATGTCCTGCGTAAAACATCGACGGACCTCTGCAGATTGGCCGTGCATCCCTCACGTAGTGCGAACTGGAGATACCGGAATTGCGGTCAACTGAAGACGTGGCTCAACACTGCTAATTCGGACGTCGAACGCATGGGCCTCGTAACCGTTTGTGGTTTGCGACACTGGAAAAAAACCTGGGTTAACATTTGCGAGGAGCTCGCTTCCGATCACCGCCAATGGGCCTCCGCTATCCGTGACATCCGTGAAGCCGATTCATCCGGCAACAGGAGCTAATCGGATCAAGCACCAAGAAGGTTGGGGTTTAAGTTGAGGTTTAGGGTTTTAAGGCCTGGGTTTAGGTTATGGTTACATTTGAGTTTCGCCTTTTTGCTCCAAACCCAGTGTCCATTTATCATAATTATCTACCCGCTACCCCATTTTCTATTGTCACCGAGGGCTGGCTATATACAGGCTGTATTTAGTGGCATTTGCGGCGCGCCGATCAGCCCTTTAAATTTCGGTAATGTAGGCCACCTTCCTCCACAATTGCCTGACGGTCGTTCGTCACAGCGAGCCGCCTTGCCTGCCTAGATGGGCCATAGCCAACAGTTCAGGTAGATTAATTAAATGAACAACAAATCTACGCTGACCCACTCCGCACTCAATCTAGCCTGACTCCACCACTGGCCCTTTTTTCTCTGTGGGCCCTAAACCGCATCCAAGTGAATTTTTTCTTTGATTGAAACACCGCTTGGCCTTTACTGTTCTTCAAGAATGTCCCCCTTTTTCCTCCTCCAGATCATGACAGACACACAACAGGCTAAACAGTCGCTGGCTGACATTGAAGCTCGCCATGAGGACATTATCAAGTTGGAAAAAAGCATCAAAGAGCTGCATGACATGTTTATGGACATGGCCATGCTTGTAGAGAGCCAGGTAAGTCGTGGCTCTCCATCATTCCTTCTCATGTTTGAAAAAGCTGGTTTCACCCATTTGTGGATATTCGCCCCCCACATGCGGTATATTGCCTGTGTCATGTTCTTTGTTGCAAATGTTGCCCAGCGCCGCGATGTCACCGTCTAGTTACGCCTTATGTGAGTCCCCAAGGAAGAGCACAACAAGAAGAGTGCAAAAGTAGAGGTCTTTTAGCGTACTTAGTGCAACATATTTAAGGCAAGCAAACGCGTGTACAGTGAATGAGTCAACTGCTTCTTTTCCAGCCGTCCTCGACCTCATTTAGTCTTCGGTGTTGCTAGGTATACCACAGCAGAATCTCCGGCCTCAACTTCATCTGTCAGGCCGATGAATAACAACTCTTATATTCTAGCAAATGCAAGTATACACTGAAGTCTCCAAGGGTACATTTCACGATCTTCTCTTGGATAATTTCTGTGTGCTCAACGTTGCATCGAGATGCAATCAGCCCCCTAAAGTGGGTTGCTATTGAAAAGAAGACGACTCGGTCGCTGGAACAATACTTTTGTTCGCCTGACGTGTCGAGATCCGTCGCGGATTCGTTATCAGAGACATAATCAGAGGGCTGTAGCAGGTACCCGTATCTGGGTTGCTATTGTCCGCAATAAAGAACAATCTGAAGCATAAAGTTTGCATCAACCAGAACTAAAAGAAGCCGGGGAGATGTTATGAAATATTTGGGGATGAAAGTTGAGGGGGACGTTTTGCAGATCGCTTAGCTGGAAACGTTGATATTGCGCCGTCACTTAAGGATGGACGTTTCGGAAAATTGTGTTTGGATTTTTGGCACCTTGGACACCAGTTCAGTGTAGGCGTCAAAAGAAGAATGCAGCAAACTTTAGATTTGCAGTAAATACGTTTCAGGTAGTACAACATCTGTTTTGAAATTTTACTTATTTGTTTGTTTGTCTGGCTTGTCTCCACTAGGGCGAGATGATTGACAGAATAGAGTTCAATGTAGACCAGGCGGTAGACTACATCGAAACAGCCAAGGCGGATACCAAGAAGGCCGTTAAATACCAGAGCGCAGCACGAAAGGTACGCACTCCTCTATGTCGAATATTTCGTCGTCGTCATCATCGCTGTCGTCCAACTTCTTCGTTTCCCCGCCTCCTCCGTTGTCGTGTTTTACCTGTGCCTGTCAATAAAGTCATATATGTTGTTACTCTTTCAGTGTCACTGTTTTTTGTGTGATTTTGTTTACCCTAGAAGGAGTGGTGGGGGGTACTGTGTTCATACTGTCATTCTTATTTCTACACCTCGATTAGGTGGTTTGTGTCGGCCAAGTCAAGTTTATTAAGGGAAATATAGGCAAACGTATTTGTTTAGTTATAAAGATGGACAGAAAATGAACCTAGCTGGAAGTCTGGGAGTCCGCTACCACCCCATTAGCGGTTGCTTAGAAATTTTCAGGCACAATATTCAATGATATTAGTGTTTGACCGTCTTGACTGGTCTCGTTCTGATCAACCGGGGTCGGAAACTGGGCATTACGAGGGGTCCTTTCCCCTGCCTTATTGGTCCTTGTAAGGAACAAGCCTGACAGGTGCAGCCTGATCAAGCAAGATCATTGCAACTCTGCGAAGTGGTGAGAACGACCTCGTTTGTTTTACTCTTACGGGAGCGCATAGTGAACAACAGCAACTGTAATACTGGGGATGGTTGCTCCCAACTCCCCTTCCACCTTGTTTTACCTGGTAGTTGAGTGAACTTGACCGGCAGTTCGACCGTTGTTTTTGACAAGCTCCACCGAGTTCCCCACAGCAGGGTGTTGCAGGGCCGGTAACTGCGCTGGAGCGTAGACTTTCGATGCATCTACCTCGCTCTCAGTCCTACTTCCCCACCTGAGTCGGATGTCAAGACAGTCAAGAAGAGCGCGGGTGGAAGAGGGCGCAGGCCCATGTACTGTGAGCCACCGCAAGCAAGAAAAATAGAGCAAAGTTGGTGGGGAGCTCGGATCTCAGCTGATTAGGAGTGCAATCAAGGTCACAGTGAGAAGGAGCCATTGCCCTTCCACATATATTTACAACGCTACTCAACAGAGTTTATAACTTCTGGATGTTCTAGACGTTCGCAGTTTAGTCCGTCCTCCCTAGAAGACGAACTAATTTTATGTTCTTTTTAGTTCTTCATTCCCATCGGAATTCTTAGCTGGGCCGGGTTTTTGTGGTATCCGCTTGGACTTTTGGCATACGTGCCATCTGTTTAACGGCAGGCGTATAGCTCAACAGAACTATTAGACTATCTCGATAAGGAAGGGCTGTAGCCATTCTCCCGGCCCGACGGAGCGGTCCTGTCTTAGACTTCCATCCCAATGCCGTCTTCAAATGCCTCTTGCTGTTGCCACTGTCTCAATCGCGAGACAATGCTAACAGTACAGTTAGAGTACGCTGTTAAGATTGGTTGTGTATTCTAACGTTTTTACTCAATCGGTAACTGTTTTTTTCAAAAAAACTCTGTTATTTGTGCGAGTATATTAAAACACAAAGTTCCTCTGGGGAAGAGGAGGATATGGTGATTCTCCCGGTTATATGCTTTTCGTTGGGCTGTGCCATCGGTTTTAGCTTTCAGAGCCGTTCTCCTATGGTTTTATCTCCAAGATTGAGAATTCGAGGTGATTATTTCTAGGGAACGGATGGCAGGTTATCCCGAAAAGGTTTGTTGCATATGCCTGGGCATGATCCTAACTTCGATCCCGTCATTGCGTGAGAATGAGCTACTCTGGTGGGCAGCAAAGTGGGGACTCTGCTACCGCGCCTAGACTCGATTGCCTCCCCTTCCCCAGCTATGCTACAAATGACGAAGGAGTCGGTCGGATTGAATGTGTGAAAGAGAAGGACCGCTCTACTACACAATCTGTATGGTAATTTAGAAGCTCAGATTGTGTTAACTCTGGATGGTGCCTTGAGCTTTATTTCCGCATGCCGCCTCACCCCGAGGTATAATATTTAAAACTACAAAAGTAGACAGTCTCAACTGCCTCGGAACCAAGCTGTTGTCGGATTGCCACAGTCAGGACGGCGTTGTTTCCCGAATCGATGCTGTTCGCCGTGTTTTCTCAAGCCTTAGTGCCTGTGGATCTGACCCGACATCTCCATCTCCACGAAGATTCTCCATCCGCTCAGTCCCCTCCGGTTGTGAATGCTGGGCTGTGCGTTGGGAATATGTGCAAAACCTGGAGACATTTGATCACCTCTGTCTGATGGCCCTTCTTCGAGTGGAGTACATGGATTTCTTCCTAAAGGAGACAGTCTGCTCTCTGTGTGTGTGTGTGCCAATTTCGCGTGCCTATCCCAGGCCATCCAAGAAAGGCAACTGGAATGGTTTTGGACACGCGTTGTTCTTTATTAACCTCACGAGCTCAGTGTTATTGCCCTGCATCCGACACCGCTTGGAGGTGTCGAGGGGGGGGGAGGGGTCAGTTAAAGAT